GGCATATGGAGCTGCGACTCTTCTCCCACCTGCATGAGCTCTCGCTGCGCTGGCACTTGGGCCGCCGCACAGGGGAGGTGCTGCGGATCGTGGACCGAGGGACATCCAGTGTCACAGGGCTGCTCAGGTGCCACTCCAGTGAAAAGGGCACGGGGGAGGGTGGGGCTGAGAATCGGGGATGGAGGAGTCAGGAGGGTAGACCCACCCTGAGCTGCCACCCCTCCCAGCTTGTATGTTCTGGTTCTTTGATGAATTATAAGAGCAGTGTTCACTCACTATTATAATAACTCCAGTAATGCTGACACAGAGCTAGTGGCTTTTGAACTCCTCTCCTCCAGAGTTTCCTGTTCTGTATAGTGTTAAATTCTGCTTTGTTGTGCTTTTACTTACAATTTTTTAGACTCGTGGTTTTATGTTTTTTTTTTTAAATGTTTTTCCTTTATTTATTTTTTGGCAGAACCAGGGATTGAACTCAGACCCTTGCGCTTGCCAGGGAAGCGCTTATTCTACTGAGCCATTTCCCTGGCCCCCTTCCTTTATTTTTTGAGACAAGGTTTTGCTCTGGGTTTTGCCAGGCTGGCCTCAAGCTCAGCAATCCTCCTGCGTCAGCCTTCTGAGTGCTAGGATTTATAGGTGTGTGCCACCACACCCAGTTTATGGAAATTTTTCTAAGGCAAATGAAATCTCAGCATATGTGTCATTTTCACAGTTGCTTTAGCAGAACCTTATGAAAAATTTCATTTGTACTCAAAAGATCGTACTTGTTCGTGATAACTGGTAGGGTCCTATAGTTTAGCTATCCTGTGGTTTAATCACCCACCGCTTAAGGGATGTCTAGATTGATTCTAGTCTGTTGCTGTTGATAATGAAGCACTACACTGAAGTTCCCCAAGGTAGGGTTGGTGATTCTCTGCCACAGATTTCTGTCTTGTCTTACCTACACAGCTACCTGGTATTCAACATTATCCCCACGCTGGCTGACATCATCATTGGCATCGTCTACTTCAGCATGTTCTTCAATGCCTGGTTTGGCCTCATTGTGTTCGTGTGCATGAGTCTTTACCTCAGTAAGTGCTGCCTGGTGAAACCATCTACCTGATCTGTCATGCAGCTCCCTCGGGCCTGAGACCTACCCCCCTCTCAGGTGACCGTCCTTCAGGAGGCTGAGGATTGGTGGACTTGATTAGGCTCCCACTGGTCCTAGGGTGATAGGAAAGTCTCCTCTGCCCTATTAAACCTTAGCCCAACCTGCAGGGAGGGCCAGGGGAGGCATCTTCGTTGTATCAGGTTCCTTCTGTGGTCTTGGGTGAAGGAAAAACCCCCATTTGTATAACAAGACGTTTTTATTTGTTCACCAAAAGTGTTTTCTGTACCCAAGCCTTTGAGCAGGCTGCAAACATGCTTGCACATGGCCTCTACGCTCGGTGAACTTTTGGCTTCTCCCAATGGAGTCCTGGTCCCTAGCCCCTCGAGCACTTTTGGTATATGTGGCGGGGAGTGGGGAGAGACACTTAGTCTCTGCTGTTTGGGATGATGTCCTTTTCTCTGTACCCCTCTTCCTGTCATGTTCCAGTTCTGACCATCGTGGTCACTGAATGGAGAGCCAAGTTTCGCCGTGCTATGAATACACAGGAGAACGCTACCCGTGCACGAGCTGTGGACTCCCTGCTAAACTTTGAGACGGTAATGGAAGCGTGAACAACAGTGCCAGGAAGCAGGGAGATGTCGGGGATTGTAGCTGGCACCACTGGGGTGATAAAGCACTTCAGGGTGATATTTGAAATCGGGAAAGAGGGATCAGAAATTCAGAGGAAGTGAGCTGTGAACCTTATGCTGTTTGAATTCATCAGGTGAAGTACTACAACGCCGAGGGTTATGAAGTGGATCGATACCGAGAGGCCATCATCAAGTATCAGGTGAGGATGCTAGTGTGCAGCCCCCTGAGCATGGAGCTGGCCTGTGGCTTGACCAAGGCAGAGAGGAGTAAGACCCAGGGGCTGAGGTTGAGGGGCATGGCTCAGGGTGGGATTTGGTGATGGTCTTCCTGTGGACCATTCTTCCCTTCTGTGTCATTGCCCTTAGGATTTGGAATGGAAGTCAAATGCTTCACTGGTTTTGCTGAATCAGACCCAGAACTTCGTGATTGGACTCGGGCTCCTCGCTGGCTCTCTGCTTTGTGCATACTTTGTCAGTGAGCAGAAACTACAGGTGAGGCAGAATGACAGAGGAGTGGGGGACAGGGAAGAGGGGTTTGGAGCTTAGGTCTGAGCCCCCAGCCTCTTAGGTGTGGTGCAGGAAAAGCAGGCTCTTGTGATACTTGAGTTTCCTTCGGTCTCTGCAGGTTGGGGACTTTGTGCTCTTTGGCACTTACATCATCCAACTGTACATGCCCCTCAACTGGTTTGGCACCTACTACAGGTAACCTAATCTCAGGCTTTCACCTGTCCAGGTACCATGCTATTTCCTTGCTCCTCAGAAGAGCCCACCTATCACCCTTATTTCAGGATAATCCAGACCAACTTCATTGACATGGAGAACATGTTTGATCTGCTGAAAGAGGAGGCAGAAGTGAGTGAAGAGAGAAGAGTGGGGTCTGGGGAACAGGTTGTTTCTTGGTTGTAACAGCAGTATGCACTGGCTGCACTCTCTCAGGTAAAAGACCTTCCTGGAGCAGGGCCCCTTCACTTTCAAAAGGGCCAGATAGAGTTTGAGAATGTGCACTTTGGCTATACTGATGGGTGAGCCCGCACCTCTTGCCTTCTTTGTGTTCCCCTTGTCTGTTGGCACAACTGCCTTCCTATGCTGAATCCCAACTCTGCAGCCCACCTTACTTGGGCACAGTGCCTTGGCAGGGAGGGGAGGGCCCAGTCCTAGCTATGGTGATGGCAGGGGTCTACTGACCCTGCCTACCTCTCTTGCAGGAGGGAGACTCTGCAGGATGTGTCCTTCACAGTGATGCCTGGACAGACACTGGCTCTGGTGAGATGAGACCAAGCCACTTAGCCTGTACTCCTTGAGTGCCTCTTATTCATTACCCATGGTGGCTCATAGCCCAGGCTAGGGAATCAGCTGTCTTGATGAGCAGTGGGGTTGAATGTGACAGCCCTTGTGGATGTTGGTGGCCCTTGGAAAGGAAGATTGAAAAGTCACTGAGCCTGAGAATTTACCACTCTTGTTTCTAACGCAACAGGTGGGCCCATCTGGGGCAGGAAAGAGCACAGTGTTGCGCCTGCTGTTTCGCTTTTACAACATCAACTCAGGCTGCATCCGAATAGATGGGCAGGATATTTCACAGGTAAGTTAGGGGTCTGTGTGGACAGATACCAAGAGCCTGGCATCCAGAGTTAGATAATTCTGGGGCCTTCCTAGCACCACATGCCCTGCAGTGACACTAAGAAAGTAGTTATGGGAATGAGTTGCTGTGGTGTTGTCCAAGATACAGCTCTTCTACAGCAGTCCAGGGAAGTAAGCAGGGAGTGCATTTTCTTTTTGTGGATGGGAAAACAGACTTGAATAGGTTGTGTCATTTGCCCACCCAACTGGGATTCGCCAGTCCTTCCAACCTCCCAGTTCTGAGAGTATCTCACAGGCAGGCTGGCCATTCTTTTGGCCCCAGGTGACCCAGATCTCTCTCCGCTCTCACATTGGAGTCGTGCCCCAGGACACTGTCCTCTTCAATGACACCATTGCCAACAATATCCGATACGGCCGTGTCACAGCTGGGAGCAATGAGGTGGAGGCTGCTGCTCAGGCTGCAGGCATCCACGATGCCATCTTGGCTTTCCCTGAAGGTGAAGTTCCTCCTCCGAGAGTCCCCTTTCCTGTCTACCGTGGTTCTGTTATTCTGACCTCTGTTTCATCCCTTCCCTGCCCACCTGGGCTCAGAAATCAAGTTTATTGTGTGTGACTTGAGGGAGGTGGGCAATATCCACAGGGTATGAAACACAGGTGGGTGAACGTGGACTGAAGCTAAGCGGTGGAGAGAAGCAGCGAGTTGCCATCGCCCGCACCATTCTCAAAGCTCCAGACATCATTCTGCTGGATGAGGTGAGGCCTGGGCAGCCTTTTCCTGTCTTCCCTGTCTGCCTGTGCCATTCCTACGGGGCCATTTCCTGCCTAGCACAAGTATCAATGGTTTATGTTTCACCAAACCCTTTACAGTTCTCAAACTCCAAGTGTTTATATCCAAGCTAGCTGAACTAGTAGCTGGCATCATCCTCCTACTGGGGTCTTTGGTGGTCAGGGGCATTTTACCCAGACCCTCTCTGTAGGCAACATCAGCGCTGGATACATCTAATGAGAGGGCCATCCAAGCGTCACTGGCCAAAGTCTGTGCCAGCCGCACCACCATTGTGGTGGCACACAGGTATAAGACTACAGGACAGGGTGGGTGGCAGTGTGGGCCACTTGTGGTGGTACAGTAAGTAACACACCTCTTGACTTCTCAGGCTCTCAACTGTGGTCAATGCTGACCAAATCCTTGTCCTAAAGGATGGCTGCATTGTGGAAAGAGGACGGTGAGATGCACAGGGCTGTGGTGGGAGCGTCCCCCTTGTGGACCAGTGGCAAGCCCTCTAAGGTGTACCTGATGGGTGGAACTCACACTTGCCTCCTTCCCCAGGCATGAGGCACTACTGTCGCGAGGTGGGGTATATGCCAACATGTGGCAGCTACAACAGCAGGGCCAGGAAGAAGTGTCTGAAGACAGCAAACCTCAGCCCACGGCACAGTGACAAGCTATGGCCTATTCCCTCCAAAAAGGCTAACTCAGGGGAATAAGATGTACCCCTTTTCCCTGGCTTATTTCATCCTGGTGTAGGGGTGTGGTGCTAGCTGTTTGAGGGAAAGGGGCCTTTTTAAAAAGCACTTTTGGGGGAAATAAAAGTGTGGACTACCCAAGGATCATGGTGGCTTTGTCACGTAGGGGCAAAAGACCTCCAACCTGAAGATAACACTTTTCTCTTTCGTGCTGGAAAAGAGAAACAACACTCATGTCTTACTGAGGGCCAAGATCTTTATTCTTCCCAGGCCCCTCCCGGCCCACTGCATGTTGGGGGGCAGCCCCAAGTAAGAGGGATAACATAGTGAAGGGGGTTGAGAGCAGGCCCTGGTCAGCCTCCCCGAGGGTCAGCAGTTCGCAGGCACTCTCTCTGCAGCCAGAGTGCCAGCAAGGGCCTTTCTAGGCTATTTGGCAAGCTTCCTGCTGACATTTTTAGAGCAGCCTCCACCTCACTGCTGCTTGTCTTTGTCCTCCAAGCTGCTCTGTGCCTCCTCTCCCTGTGTACCCTGGAGGTGTGAGGGCCACAGTCCTCAGCTGAGCCTCCCTCCCCAAGCCCAGGACCCTAGCACAGGCTGCAGTTGGATGGCTTCAAGCTGCGGCTCTGCGTCTGGAGCAAGAAGGGAAGGAGGAGACAAAGTGCAAAGTCAAGGAAAAGAGGCAGGCCTTGATTCAGAGTTCAGGCTGGACTGCTCCCACAGTGAAAGCAAGAAGAACCACTGTCCCAGCATTCAACACTCAAAAGACATCACCTGCCCAGTTCTTAGCACTAGCTCCCATCTGTACCCCACCATCCTCATACCTGCTGCCGCTGGTACTCTGCCTCACTGGCAGAGAGGGCTTGAGCTAGAGCCAAGTCTTCTTCCTCCTGAGAACTGGAAGGAGGAACAGCTTAAGTTGGACTATGATAATACCTAACATTTGAGCACCTGTTCTGTTAAAGAGATCCTCTGGGTTCGACCTCAGTAAGTATTAGCATTATTCCCATTGTATAGAGGAAGTTAGTTCCTTGTTGGTTAAAGAGCTTGTTAAAGCTTATACAAGTTATACTTTGATTTTTTTGAGTCAGAGTCTCATTTTAAGAGCTTGTTTAGAGGTTCTAGCAGGGGAGCATCGCTACTTGTGTACCCTTGACCGAGGAAATAGTCCTGTTAGGAATGGTCACCTTCCATCCAGTGTGCAGCTTTGGGGGGACCACACATGGAGCAGTGAGGGAGGAGGACACCTGCCTCACCATCAGATCAGCCATATGACCCTGGCAATCAACAAGCTGATGTATTGCAGCCCATCGCCCCCACATCCCAGGGTTTTGTCTTACTATAGTCTAGTCTGGTCCTAAATGCACGGTGCTCATCCAGCCTCAGTCTCCCAAGTGCTAGGATTCAGCCATACACTACAATGCCCAGATGGTTCATCTTAACCTTGAGCCCAAGCTTCTATGTCTTCTCTGGGTTGATGTCCTACTCCTCCCCTCAAAGTGACCCTTTGCTCACATCCTAGCCTCTTTTCTACCACAGTAGATACCTTGGGACCTGGGGTTTGGTCTCTGCCAGGGATAATTCCAGGGCACGTTGCAGAGCCTCATCTTCACTCTGCAAAGGGAGAAAGAAGACGAAGTGTTTTGGGCTGTACTCTCCCGTGGGTTTCCGTCTGTCCATCCAGTCTCTTCCCCAACTCACCAAGCCATTCTGCAAAGCAAGCACTGGAGGGGCTGTCCGGGGTGGAGACTGGGTTGTAGCTCTATGGGAGATATTCAAGCGGCTGAAGTCAGAGATGTGAAGGGGTAGAAATGGAGAGGTGCAGTGGGCAGTCCTACCTGCTGGGAGAGGTAGAGGAAGGTGAGGTCCAACTTGGGCTGGGGACTGTGCCTGCAGAAGCCTGGCTTTGTGCTCTGGAGATGGCAGCAAGTCTGTAAAGAAGAGAGACCTTTGGCATGCCTCCAAAAGCAGTCAGGAGAGAAGTTCCTCCAGACAGTGTGGAAAGCCCATACTTGAAAACTTAAACTCCCCTGGCCAATGGGGACAGGGCTGCAGATTCCCAGTTTGTAAGGACAGAATCTGAGTTAGCTCCAAATGCATGGAAGGTTCCCAAAGGCGAGGAGGAGACCCAGCAGCAACTACCCTGCCTGGCTGGTTGGGCACCCCTCCCCAGAGCAGTCATGGTCCAGTGGGTGACGGTGCTTGATGCAGAAGTTTCGGCCACAGCGTTCACAGGTCAGCTTCATCATCTCTCGCTGCCGACACCCAGAACGTTCACACTTGTTTGTGAAGATCTGGAATAAAGGGAAGAGGTTTGTGACTGAGTTGCTAGCCCTTCTGCAGCTGGTTTACTGGAGTTAAATGTTTAGCTTTCCAGGCATCTACAGTCCCAGCTGGGTTGTGATGAATCAACACTACCATCACTCACCTTGCGTTTTTGCTGCGCTGGGTCAGAGCGACAGTCTCTGTCAATGTGCTCTCCCACAGCCCGGTCAGGGGGCTCCCCTCTGGCCACAGGAACAGGCACATTACAGAGAGGACACACTGGTACCTGGATATCCTACAGTCAAAGAGCAGGGGTCAGTTTGTGGCCCATTTCCATCTAACACATCTCTGATCCTAGGAGTCAGGAAAGAAGTTCCTCCAAACAGTGTGGAAAACTACATACTTCGGGAAAAAAAAAAGACTCTCCTGGCCAATGGGGACAGGGCTGCAGCTTCACAGATTGTAAGGATAGAAAGTGAGTTAGTTCCAAAGGGATGGGAGGTTCTCAAAGGTTAAGAGGAGAACCAGCGACACCCCGGCCTGGCTGGTTGGCTACCCCTCCCCAGAGCAGTCATGGTCCAGTGGGTGATGGATATCTGGATAACCCCCCCACACACACACACACATACAAATGTGCAAGAAAACACAACGGACAGTGTACTGAGCCTCAGGAAGACAATAGGGGAGATGTGAAGCAGACAGATGCTTAGGATTCTGCAAGCATCTGCCCTCCACCCCCTTTAACTCTCACGACCGCCCCCTCACCTTTTGGTAAGCAGATCCACAGTGATGCTGGGCGTAGGCCACATGGTCTGCACAGAATATACCCGAGCAGGCATCGCACTTGAGCGGCAGAAAATCTGCAAGGAGTCAGTCCGACTGCAAGTCCGTCTACTGGGACCTACATATCCCTTCTCTCACTCAAGGATGCCACTTGGGAAGGAAAACACTACCCCATTTGACACCCTCCCTAGTACACGCTCCCTGGCCACGCCCCCTAGCCACCGCCCCCAACTTCGAGCCCCGCCCTCCTCGGCATTTCCAGCCCGGAAGCCTACCCTCCCCGCCCGACCCCGAGACCCAAACCCCTTGCCGCCCCGCCTCGCCTATCTCCCCTCGCGCGCTCCGCCCCTCACCCAAGCGCTGACAGCTTGGCTCGGAACAGTGAGCCCCGAGGTCCGGAAACTCCATCGCCGGGCCAAGCAGGGCCTGGTGGAAGAAGTCAGTCCTTGGCGTCCTTAAGGCTCCCGCCCCGATTCCGACCGCGACCCCGCACTCCGTGGGATCCCCGCCCCGCCCCTTCCTCCCCCCGCCCAGCCTGAGCTACCCGCGCGCCAGCGCCTGCGGCCCGCAGCTCCCACCCTCCCCCTGCGCGCGGGCGCACTGATGTCACCACGCAGCGGGCGCGTCCGGCGCAGCCTCCGGCCGCGGGGAAGGCGTCCTGGCCGGCCGAGCCCCGCCCCGCCACCGCGCCGCTTGCTCCTGAGTGGTTGTCCAGAGGCCCGGGGGCGGTGGCGCGGCGCTCCGCGCACTCCGGTGCGGTTGATGGCAGCCAAGGGTAGTCCTGAGAATTCAGGGATGAGGGACAGCCCAGACACTGCGGGGACGGGTGGTGTCGGGAACTATCGCCGACTGGAGGTGTTTGAAGACTTTCACAGTTCGGTTGACTTCTCACTCCACACCTTTCCCAGGCCAGTGTGTTCACCGCCAAGGCTGCACCTTCGCCCTAAGGGCCGAGAACTCCCATATTCCACACCAGAACTGGAGGCCTGTCGAGATTTCAGCCTTGATGCCCTTCCTTCGGACTTGCCGGCCCACAGTCTGAGGTCACCCTCCTGGAATGCTTCTTGAATGAAGTAGTCATTAGACTGGTGACCTGCCGTTACTTTAGGACCTCCAGATTAAGATTTTTTTTTTCTTAGTCTGACTTGCTATGTAGTTCAGACTAGCCTTCAACTATGGCTTCAGCTATGGGGCAGCCCTGCATCAGCCTCCCCATAATGGGATTACAGGCATGCACCAGGACACCTAACCCCAGATTAAGATCTGTCATCACATTTTGCTTTTCACAGGCTTCTTTCCCTTGCTGCATGGGTTCGGTGGCTTTTTTATTTATTTATTTATTTATTTATTTGTCTTCCTTACGTCTAGGCATGGATCAAGAAAATAGGTAAAGAAATAAAGTCGACAGTAACCTCCAGAGTGTTTAAAGACACCAGGCTTCAATTGGAAAAGGGCCCATTTCTCCCTCTCTGTGTCCCTCGAGCAGTTAGAACGATGGGGGCTGAGGAGATCATGTCCCTCTGCTTGCTTGAGCTCCGGCAACACCTTAAAAGCATTTTATACAACCCCAAAGCAAAGCCTATGCCTCACCACCCCTCTCTCTGTCGATCTTGAGCCTGAAAGCCCAGTTTGTCTTTGTCCCTGGCACCATTTCTCTGCTTGTGAGCTTCAATAACTGTTTTCTTTCACCATTGGGTGTATGCTTTGCAGTTCTTTTTCTTGTCTTACCCAAGAGCTTGTATACCAGCATTCCCTCTTTCCACTCATGGCTGTTTCCCTGTGTCTGCTTCTTACATTTGCAACTCTAAAGCCAGTGGAAGTTAAGATTTTCTCTCCTGGTTCCTCAGGCAGGAGGCCTAGTCTCAGCTTTGGGTGTACCCAGTTGCCTTGGTTTGGATCACCTGCCAAAACCTGCATACTGACCTCCCATGTGCTTGTTACACACATGCACATTGATTGAGCTGTAGAGGCTTTAAGAAAAGCCCCGGGACAAATACTGAGACTGCTGAAAGTAGCTACAGAAGACAGAACTTTCTCCCTCAACTCCGCTCAGAGATTTCAGGGATCAGGGATCTCAGTGGGGGAATAGTACAGTTAGAAACAAAGGAGCTCAGTCATTCCCTTCCCTTCATTCAGCTATAAACATTACACCACCCCTAATGGTTTCGCATACTTTCATAACCCAAAAAAGGGAGAAGTTGTGTGGGCCACCTCCTCTCCATTCAATCGTAAACACAAGAGCACCCTGATGATTATTTACGTTTAAACTTGGGAGGTCATACAGATTGCTAACATCAGAAAAGAGAGACAGTGGGAAAAATCTAGGACCAATGGATGTCCGAACCTATAAATACTGGATGCCAGAGTGAGCAAAGATCCCTTTGTGCCCACTCTGCTCTTATGCCTGTTCCTGCTGCTTCCCTGCAGTCTTCAATAAACAGCACTACAAGGTGGGGGGAGGCACAAAACACAGGCTGGGCTTTGAGGTGAGAAGCCACTGGGGCTCACAGGAACTGTCCCCAGAAGCAACAGCTGAAGTCAGAGATGGTCCAACAGAGCTGGCAAAAGGCACCAGGAGCACTTGCTGTATCTGGCCATTATTTTCCTGAGAATTTGGAACCAAGGTCAAGACAGCATTCAGAACGTGGTTGAGCATGTAACATACAAACTATGGAATGGCCATTCGCCCTAGCATCATCCTGTCATACTGACCAAGGGACAATTAAAGAGACTGTTACTTGTAATACCTGACTAATCTGACACAATGAGCCAGCTCCATAGAACAAGGTTGGTCCCAGCTAGGTGTGGTGGTGTACACCAGTGACCCCAGCACTCAGAAGGCTGAGGTCAATCTTATAGGTTGTACCCAGAAATCTGACATCAATCAGGTTGTACCCAGAAATTTTTTTCCAAACATATTGTGTAATATATTGATTTTGATGGGGGATGACCAGTAACTATCTCAAAAGAGACAAAAGTGAAACCAATGGAGTAAAGCCAGTTAGCTATAGCTGTCCTAGAGGCTACAGATTTCAGAAGGAGATGTGACTCAGGTGATGATGTGGTTTAAACACATGGGTGCCAGGCTGATGACACACTGAAGAGTCTGGATCCAGAAGCACTTAAGGGCCTGTGCCATGGGGATTCAGCTTTGGCATAAAGGCATGTGGAATGTACCACTATGCCTAACTTCATGTGCCTAAGCAGTACATGTCATAGGCAAGAATTATTTTTTTGCCATGTGTGGTGGTACATCCCTGTAGTACCAGCACTCAGGAAGCTGAGAATAAAGGCTAGCCTGGGCAGTCTGAATGGCGTAGAGACTGTACCTCAAAAAACAAAACTAGGGGCCGGGGAGATGGCTCAGTGGAATAAGTGCTTCCCTGGCAAGCACAAGGGTCTGAGTTCAATGCCCGGTTCTGCAAAAACAAAACAAACAAACAAAAAAAACCCTATATATATATTTGTTGTTGTTTGTTTTCTTTTTTTCTCTGTGACCATCTATCTAATCCTCAAGGTGTGGCTTTCAGAGCCTAGACACAAAAACTTGTGTAGGAATATGGCTTAAGGTCCATACACCTTAAAATCAGATATGCTAAGCTAGATGTGGTGGTGCACAGTTGTGATAACAGTGCTCAGGAGACTGAGGTAGGAGGATCACTGGGAGTTTGAGTTACATAATGAGTTCAAGGCTAACCTGAATATATAGTGAGATCCTGTCTCAAACAAAATATCAGATGTGCAAAATGTCTGTATTAGTCCTCAGACTTCCATTATTTTCAGCTAATAATAGGGAGAAGAGAACATTAGACAAGATATGAGTTAAACTGCTATAAAAGAGACTCAAAACAGTAGCATAAGCAAAAATAAGTTTCATGTCTTGCTTGTGTAATATAAGGACAGTATAACAGCAAGGGACTCAGATGCCTCCTGTTTTATTGGTCTTATCATCCCTAACATGTTGCTTTTTCTGAGAGGTCCCAGAGGAGTCTTTTCAGGCAGCATAATGCAGAAGGGGGAAAAAAGAGACATACTTAAGGACTTGAGACTGAATCCACAGGCATTACTTCTGTACACACAAGGCAGTGGCCAGCGCCTAGTCACACGATCTTACCCGGCTCCAGGGAAGCTGAGAAATGTAGTCTTTATATGGGCGGCCATTTACTTAGATAAAATTTCAATTATTATGTCAGTGAAGAAGAACAGACAAGGGCAACAACTAATATCACAAAAAGAAATAGCAGATGACTCTTATGATATTTAGCCCATTTTAATTTGACATAATGAGGCAGGAATTAGGTCATTTAAAAGTCATCAAGCATGTCAGGCATGGTGGCACATGCCTGTAATTCCTGCACTCAGGAGGCTAAAGTAGGAAAATCCCTGAGTGTTCAAGGCCAGCCTGCACTGCATAGCAAAACCATGCCTCAAAAAGACAATAAATAAATAAATGAAGTCAAAAGCAACCAAGATCATGTAAAGCATTTATGCCAGCTCCTGGGTTTTGAGAATGAGAACAATAGCACCCAGTGCCACTTTGTCAGTCTCTTACTGCACAACATGCTGTCCTACAACCAATCCCCTACTTTCTTCTTAAGGGCAAAACCTTGATTTGAATCATCATAGTCTAAGTAATTGAGTTTTGCATGAATCTCTTTGCAGCCCCAGAATGAGTCTTCAATGGTCTAAGTCTGGGTTTTTAAAAACTTTTTATCATTACCATGTTAGGAATTGCATTTTTTAAACAATTTGTAGAGGGGATCAAACTCAGGACCTTACACTTTCCAGGCAGGAAAGTGAGCTATCTGAGCTATCTCCCTGGTCCCCAGGAACTGCCTTTTATATGCATCATGACGAAGGGCCCAGTCACCACACTAACTCTACTGTTCATCTTTTTTTTTCTTTTTTCTTTTTTTCTTTTTTGCAGAACCAAGGATTGAACTCAGGTCCTTGCACTTGCCAGGCCAAGTGCTTATTCCACTGAGCTATCTCCCCGGCCCCATACTGTTCATCTTGATTCCATTTGTCCCTTTATTTCTTCTGGGCATTCTTTTTGCAGTCACTCCTGGTTACAGGAATGGCAGATCTGATTAACAAACATCTTTATAAGAAGGAGATGAAACTACTCCAAGTAGTGGTGAACCAAACAGGGGTAATCACCCCATCTAGGAATCAACTGTTCCCAAGCAGGACCTATTATCCTATGGCATGAACAAAGATTTCCCCTAAACAGGAGCTGTCCCTTCATGATGAAGCTCCTGTGAGTGAAGATTGTTTTCCCAGAGCCAGCCAGTCCTGAGGCATAGATGAAGCAGACCACAGCTTGGCCAGCAACACCTACGCTGCCAGCTATGCAACCCCCCAGCTAGCTCCACCTCTTGTGTTGTTCCCCTGTTCTCTAAAGTGCCAAAGCATCTGTCAGCCCCTCAAAGACAGATCTGGAACCTCTTCTTCTGTGCTTCCAACATGACCATATTGATTAGAACTCTTTTCCTGTTTAACAGTATGACTGGCTTTTTTTTTTTTTTTTTTTTCCGGAACTGGGGATTGAACTCAGGCCCTTGCGCTTGCCAGGGAAGCACTTATTCCACTGAGCCATCTCCTTGGCCCCGATGACTGGCATTTTAGGGAGAGTGGTTAGCT